CAATAATATAAAGTCCCCACAGAATGAACTGAAAATTATATTAAGTATTGCTTTAATTAGGAATAATTACAGTAGTGAGTCAAATCATATTGTACATTATTTTCAATGAGCTTCACTTTGAGAAACAGGAGCAGAAATCAGTCTTAGGATTTGAATCATAGCAAAATCACAGACATATATAACCTTACTTGGAACAAAGCCTTTTATTAACGTGGGTTAATCAGACCAAATACTGGCTCAAAGACAGGACTTTTTTTTTTTTTTTTAATTTTTGCTTTGGACACAGGGTCTCTATGTAGTTTGAACTCATAGTGATCCTCCTGTAAAACAGGACTTAATGAACTCAAAAGGCACCTGGGATGGGAAACTGGCCTGAGGAATAAAGTGGTGTGGGTGGTAGGGAAGACATAAGACTGCATTGGGTAACCAACTGCTATTTTAATAATAGCTCTGAATTTAAAAAGTGAAATTCTTCATAGTATTTTCTCAGAAACTAATCATAAGATTACAGAGTCCCACAAAATTTAGAGATACAAAAGTAGATGCTGAGCAACTAGAGGACACCCCAGGTATGAATTTTAGAAAGTTAGTCTCTATGGTAAATGGTACCATACTCTGGCAGCAGGTACAAAGGAGTGATGATACTCTGGAGAAGAGGTACGGACACACTGTGATCAAGCAGTGGATAGATGAGGGTCCCAGCAGGAGATGGGATCTTTAAATTGATGGATTTATCTGCCACTACTCATATCTCCGTCTTCATAAATGGTAATTTCAATAACTCGAAGTCCTCTCTCAATGGAATCTGTTAGAGGCAGGCCTTGGGGAGCATTATCTTCTCATCCTGCTCTTGAATATCCTTGGGGACTTTCTTTAGATCCTTCTCATAATGGGTTTCTGTGCCTGAGAAGTGGTGTATGTGGTTAAAAAAATGTAAAATAGCGTTTAAGGTAGGATCGGCCCCCTGAGGAATAGAACAACAGTTGTGTAAATACTGAATGGAAAAAGACATGTTGTAACCGAAAGAGGGTTTAGGAAAAAGGACTTTCAGGCTTAGTGACTCTGAGTTCACTTTATTTTTATTTTTATTTTTTTAAATTATTT